CTCTTTTAGAAAAGCATTTGAAAATATTCATAAAAGAGAAAGAAGTGGAAGTGGTTCTCGTATTACAAGAAGAAGATCTTCATTATTACGAAATCAAGAAAATCTCTATCGTGCACAATTGAAACAACCCCACACCCCTCGTTCTAGTGGTATCAGTCCAATGAAAATTGTTCAAGAAATACATGAAGGAGATGATTTCTTAGAAAATGGATTAACTACCGTAAGAAGAAGGTTTGACTCATGTAACGCTAGAATGAATAGAACACCACTTCAAGATTTTAGACTCCATCGTACTGAACAATTCAAAACTAATGACGTTAATTCTGTTAAATTAGAAGATCGTTTTAATGACCCCATTTTTAAAGAAACAGCTATTGTCCAAGAACCTTCAAATGTTAATATCCCTATTGTCCCTGTTCCTATTAGAAGAAGTGATACCGGTCAAGACCCTTTCGAGTTTGCTCCTTTATTCATTTTCGGAGAACAATCTCATCAATAAATTACTTATTTGCATTCATTTTAATAACTTTGTTTTATTATCTTTGACTAAAACTATTTCTGAACTATTAAAATGAATTTTCTAAAAGGTTATCTTGTTTTTTATATTTACTTCTCAAATAATTCATACTCTATAAATTCTCAAGCTTTGTCTGTCTTCATTCCTTTAGTTAGTAATCATTAGTATCGATGTGAAACATAACAACTGTTTTATAGATATAAGAATTCAGGAAAATAAGTTTTTACTTGAATATTAACTGTTTTTCAAGTAAGACTTTTGCTATAATTATAATATTATTATTTACTTTTCTAATAAAGGATTTTTATAAACACACATTGCCTGTCCTATTACTTCATGAAACAAAACGATGAAATACGTATAATAGATTAAAAGAAATACAGTATGAGAAGTAAAATATAGAAAGGAAGTAGGATGCTGTTTGAAACAAACTCTAAATATCTTATTACATTTATAATATCTATTTTATTATTATTTCTATTAATAAAATATTATTGTTTTATAAGCTATTTTGTTATTTGTTATTTTGATGATAATGAATTATTTCATTTCATTAAATTTATCATTATTTATTTTTATTCTTCATCATATTCATATTTTCATCTAATAAATTAAAATTGGTTTTATCATTTAATTATATTATATTAT